AGAAAAAAAACCCAAACCTCACACACAACCAAAGAGACCTTACTGGAGAAAATGGGGTTTCCAGATGCTTTTTCATCTTATAAGAGCTGACATAATTGTCTGTAAGAACTGTAATTAAGGCTTGACCCTAATTTGAGTTGGTGGCAAAAGTCAGGTATTTAATGATGTAATATTAGGTACAGAGTAACTGGCAGAAAGAAGTCAATGTTAGATGGCAGTGAGCATCCAAAATTCCCTCCTGGACTCTAGTTCCACCTGTGGTATTATCCACCTTTCTGGCTTCTCTGTCACTCCCTGAGCCCCTTTGCCCTCCTGTTTTTAAATCCAGACAATAGTACTTATTCCAGCTGTTTGGACAGTAGCTACTACTTAAAGCTTCTCACCTAACTGTTGTCTTAGATTCCAAGTTTTTTGCTTAATGATGTTTGAATTCTTTAGCTGATATCTCTTTGTCAAGCTAATGGATGACAGATTTTTAACTGGGGAAAGTGACACTGTTGGTGTGGAGGAAATTCAGAGTATCTTCACTGACCTTGGAGAGGTTCCACGACATAAAATTATGTTAGAAAATCCACAAGTAATGGATAGATATTACAGGCAAACAGTTTTGGCATGATTCGTTTCCTGAGTGTTGAAAAAACCCTGTACTTTCATGTGATATGTACGCTGTTCAAATATAGCAGTCAGCCTGCTCTAGAGGAACCAAATCCAGCAATAAAAAAGGAACCACAATTTTTAAATGTCAGCATTTGCTGCATCAGAAAGAACAGATTAAATGAGCATAAAAATCAAATGTTAATATGTAAATCTTTACATTATTAATAAAGCATTGTAAAATAAATGCATCCCATTCATGTGATTCTAGCATAGATGATTTCTCTGGTATAAAACAGAAACAAGTCTTATATTTTCTTTAGGTAGCTTCTGATCAATCTCTCTTCTGTCAGGAATTTCAGTTACAAAAACCACATAAGGCTTTGCATTCACTGATGTGTACCCTCAGGTTTAGCAAGCAGTAACAGACAGTGCTTCAACTGTTGGGGAAGGCTGTGGGACTACACACAGCAATCCCTGTGTATGGCTGTGAGCCTTTTGGAATAGAGGCATCATTATATATTTATAAACAAGGACCTGAGACTTCTCTCTGTGTCTCTGCAGTTTTCTATCACTGTAAGTCCCTCAGCAGAACATGGGAATAAGCCTTTGATAGGCATCCCATCATACCCCGAGGTGAGGCACTGCTGAAAAAAGTAGACATGGAAGCTGCAAGTGCCCCTCAACCTCTATCTTGACATCATGCATTTCACAGAAATGAACTTTAAAATATCAAGAAATGGATATGAAGGTTTAACTATGACATAAGCCCATTTGGTATTAATAGTTTTGCTGCCCTCCATTGTCCAGACATTTTTCACATGAATAAAACTGAAAGCTACAAGCTGTGATGTGGCCCCTGATTTCCTTAGGAAGATTTAGTGTTTGTTTTGCTCCAGACTTGCAGACAAACTTATGGACTTCAGCAGAGCTAGGATCTAAAAAAGGACCAAACCTTCTGTGGTCGGTTTGTCTGAGAACAGATGGAATGGGAAGAAGCCTACTTCCTCCTGTCATGCTGACAGCTGTGACTCACATCCCAGCTGAACAGTTTCTCTTGGAGTGGAAAGCAAGACAAAAACCAGACAGCTTCAAATAGAACATTAGATCAAAGCTAGAAATTAAAATTAGGGGTTCATCATATAGCATGGTCAACACTTGAAACAGAAATGCACATTTATTACAGAAAAAAGACAACTGTCAAAAATTGATGATATATTCTGGAATCCATTACTCACTGGGACCATTTGTGGAAATTATGAAGAACTTTCAAGAGTAACAGTTATAATAAATAAATACAAAACATCTTATTTTAGCATAAATAGAATATACAAATAGTATGAAAATCTACAGTGGTTTTTTTCCCCAGTGATTTTATACTGATAAGCTGCTAAGTTACAATTTCAGCGAAGAGGAAAACTTCTCAAAATAAGGAATTTGATTTATTCCCCACTTCCTAAATATAAAAATTGTTCTGTTTGTAAAACACTCCAGGCTAACAGCAACATACATCAACCACCTTCTGTTTTACCATGAGATGCAGCTGGTTATTTTTGGGTATTTCTGCTTACTGCTGGCACTTGGGTATTTTGAATTATTGTGAGATCCAGCCTTATACCTGTGCTATGCATTTTTAATGTCACTGTGTTTGTGTGTACAACACTGTTATAACCCAGCAGCCGGTGTGGGAGCTGTCCCTGCTGTCAGTGGCCTCCCCCGTGACTGTCACTTGCACATGTCAGCTTGTGCCAATCCAGTGTGTTGCGCTGGTCATTTTCTGAGCGGTTTTGGAGAGGGAGGGCTCTCAGCTCGATGCCATCACAAACTCAGAGCTTTTGTCACCGGGGACAATGAAGTCTCTGGGGCGTGCCTGGGAGTGTCCTGCAGGGCACTGCTGGGGAAGGAAGGCAGTTGGCAGCAGACAGGCCACCACAGCTGATGACAAATTTCCTTTCACTCCTGAAAACCCCACTCACAAGAAGGGGTTTGTTAAAACTCTCTGGCTTTTTTTCTTTTCTAACTGAACTTTCGTTCTATTCAATGTAAAATATTAGACTTTTCCCCTCTTCCAAGTGCCTCTTTGGTCTTTTGCAATCAGTTAATGCAATTTTTGCCTACACAGCAGTGGATATAAAAGGCACTAGAAAGAAAGAACTGTAAGCATAAATAAATCTAAACTCTGTCTGATTTTCACACTCACTGTTCACACTTTATCTGTGTCATTATTAGTTCTTGAAGAGAGGCCTTGAGACCTGATCTCAAGGACAAGGATTATTCTGTATCATGTTGCAGAGCCAAGAAAAGGAATTTTTTCATAAACCTATGGGGAATACTAAATATTATTGATATACACTGAGAAAGCTTAAGGGGATGTTTTGAAAATGTAACAACTCGATCATGTTGACTCACAACATACCTGCTTTGAATAGAGGAATATCTGAACTTGAGAAGAAATTTTGTGTAAAATGAAATGGAACATGAACAGTTTAGAAAAGATAAAGATGTTCTCTGATGCAACAGAAAAACACAAATCAGGGTTGAGAAGCAGAAGTGAGATGATGGCACTAAAGTGATGGAAAATGATCTCTAGAGGCATCAGCTGCAAATTGCATGTCAGTAGTTTTGGACTTCTGCATGTGAAAGTAATCAGTGTTTTAGCTAAATTGAAAATTATTTTACCACCATGACAGAGCTGAAATCAAAAGAGGAAGTGTGGGATGCCTTTGAGGTTTAGTTTCACTATCAAAATAATTAGCTAATTTCCAAATCTTCATGTGACAAAATCTGGTAAATCTCTTCAACTGGTATTCAATTGCATTATCTGCAATGTTATCAAATCAAATAGTGAGATTTTATCAATCTCACTATTTAATGAAACAATTAGATCCAAATAAATACTGATGCTAACTTGTTATTATGACCTAATTTAGTAATTATATTGCCTATTTTAGTGTAGAAAGTAATTTCCTCTTAATCAAGATTTTTAAATTGATACTGTGTTACATCTGTTGCAATGTACAACATGAGCCAGAACTAATGAGACTGGCAGACATCTACTGGTAAATACAAAGTTAATCTGCTTCCTGATTCAACCTTTGTGTATCCTACTGGTTTTCCAATTAGTAACGGAAAGCTGCTAAATGTCCTGCTCTGGAATTATTCTTTCTCTATACATCAGCTTGACTCTATGTCAATAAAATAGTATTTTATAAGAAGTTTAGGTCAATGTATTGACTTTTATTGAAAAGTTATTGAAAGTTGATTGAATGGAAACTGTGAAGAACAGTTCTAGGGGGAAAAAATGGGGCTATGTCCAAAAATTATACTGGTCAACTGTTCATCTGTTGTGACATTTTTGCCTACTTGAAAAGTGCCATAATGGTAATTATCTCAAATACCTTCCTAGGAAATGTTTGCAAAATGGTTTTAGAATCTTGTGTGTAACAGGCCCTAAACAGTGTATTTTTAATACATTATGTAACTCAAATATTGACTTGAAAGGCAAAGCAAGCATTTCCTTGTGACAGTAGCTGGCTCACTGAATTCATCGCATGGCTGTGTAAACAACAAAATAACAAAAAAACTCACCCAAACCCAGAAACCATTACTTACATTTCACACTGAAAGAGAGTGGGTTTAGATGCCAGGAGAAAATTCCCACGTGTGAGGGAGGTGAGAACCTGGCACAGGTTGCTGTGGAGAAGCCGTGGCTGCTCCATCCCTGGCAGTGTCCAGGGCCGGGCTGGATGGGCCTTGGAACAACCTGGGACAGTGGAAGGTGTCCCTGGCCACGGCACGGGGGTGGCCTGAAAGGTCCTTCCAACCCAGAGCATTCTATGACTCTTACGACATCCATCAGTGCCGGTGGCACTAAGCAGGCCGGAGAGCACACCTGGCTCGGCCCTCAAAGAATGGGCTAAACCACGGTAACCAGCGGAGGTTAAAGCTGGTTATCAGCGCCAGGCTGGAACAGCCTCCAGGGAGGCGGGCACAGCACCACACCTGGCAAGAGTGCAGAAGTGTCGGGACAAGGCTGTGGGCCGCACAGCGGGGTTGCTGGGCAGGGCTCTGTGCCGGGCCGGCAGCGGCACCCGACGCTCGCTGGAGCGGCCCCGGAGCTCCCCGCACGACACCGACACCGGCACCGGCACCGGCACCGACACCGACACCGACACCGACACCGACACCGACACCGACACCGACACCGAACCGACACCGACACCGACACCGAGGCCGGGCCGGGGGCGGGCCGGCGGCGCCTGAGGGCGGCCCCGCGCCCGCCTCCGCGCATGCGCAGGCAGCAGAGCCGCGCGCTGCCGCAGCCCGGCGCGGCCGGCGCAGGCGCGGTGCTGACGCGCGGCCGCGCGCCCCGCCCGGCGGGCACGCGCAGCGCGGGGAGGCGGCGGCGGCGCCCGGGCGCGGCGCGGCCGCGGGAGCGGGGGCGGGTTTATGGCGGCGGCTCTGGCCGCGCTCGCTGCCAGGCTCTCCCAGTCGGCCGCGGCCAGGTCCTACGGCGTGTTCTGCAAGGGGCTCACCAGGACCCTCCTCATCTTCTTCGACCTGGCCTGGAAGCTCCGCATCAACTTCCCCTACCTCTACATCGTCGCCTCCATGATGCTCAACGTGCGGCTGCAGGTGGGCGGGGGCGGCGGGGCTGGGCCGGGCTCGTGTCCCGCTGTCACCGGCCGGGCCCGGGGCGGTTCGCAGCCGCTGCCCCGAGTAACGGCGGAGCGCCCCCGAACGAGTGTCCGTCCGGGCCGGGGCGGGGTCGTGCCCTGCCCTGTGTCACCGGGCAGTGTCGTCGGATGCAGCCCCGAGCCCTGCCCTTGCCGGTGTGCCCCGCTGGGATGCTTGCTCTGCGCGTTAGCAGCAAACGTGCCGCTTTTCTGTTCCTTTTCCTAAGCCAGAGTTGACTTAAATACTAGGAATAAATTGTGAATATGTGCACTTTGATAGCACGGTCCTAACACCTTGTAAGGAGCAGAGAAAACAATTTCCTTCATCAGTTGATTGGGGTTTTTTGAAATCAAGAACAGGTGCAGCACGGAAATGCAGACAGTTTTAAATACCAATGTTATTGCATGAAAAAGATTCTTCAGGTTTAATTTGTATCTCTCCTGTTTCTACAAAACGTGGAACTCTAACAGCTTTGACCTGTTGTAATGTTGAAGTTCCATTGTTTTTGTGATGAAATGAAGGATTTACTTTGAACTTAACTGGCAGCAGAAACAGGCTGTCCTCTACAAACATCTGTTCTAGCCAAGGATCAGACACTCTTTCTCCTTGTAAACATAGCTGTAATGAAAGTTTTGACATCTGGACAGTGGCCAAGGATTGAAAAACAAGTCTGGTTGGAGTTTGTTACTTGTAAAAGGTAATTTGAAATGTGAAGAGGTCAAAATGTGGCATCTCCTATTTTGGTTTTTGCAATTTGCCCTAAAATTCTGAGGCTTGAAAACGAGCCAGATGGCCAGGAGTTGTACACGTAGCTTGGTAGCCCTGGTAGCTGAAAAAGCCTTGCCTTTGCTTGTTATCAGTGTTGGTACAGAGTGGTTCTCCTGGACCATCACCAGCCTGTCCTTTGTGCTCCAGCTGACACCCGCTAACTGCTGGGGCAGCCAGTCTGACCAGTTCCCTCTGGAAAGCTTTTGTTGATTCCCAGTGTTGTGTGTCTGATTTCAGCTTGCAACTTCTGTTTACAGGAGGATTATTTTAATATTAACCTTTCCTGTTAAGCCTCTAATCAGTCCCAGCCTGTGTGTCTGTTGGTGAAGGGAAATGCTGCTGTTGCACAGCGAATCTCTCTGGCTGCTCATTTGCTGACTCACTTTCATGCCTGTCACCAAAAGAGAGCTTGTAGCAGATTAAACTGAAACTATAGAAGGGCAGCTGGTATTTGGGCATGCTTCCTACCCCTCTGATGTGCTCAAGCAGCCTGTAGGGAGACTCGTCTGTTGGGACAACTGTTACTTTCTGTAGCTGGGTTATTCTTTATGTGAAATATTGTTAATTATTTTTGGTTCAATACACTGGCAACCAGGAAACTGGGTTATCAGTGTAATAACTTTCCTGCATTCTTTCTCTTTAGGTCCATATTGAGATCCATTGACTTGTGATTTGGTGTGCTGCTTCCGCTGTATGCTGTAACTGGAGTCTGTCACACTCTTCAAATCCAGCCTGCTGTGAAGTAGCAAAGCTGTGCTTGTGTGCTCTAGGACTATGAAGGAAGAAGATTTTATCCAGAAACGAGGATGTGATGATGGCCCAGATCAGCACAAGCCAGCAGCTCATCTGACACACGTGCATTCCATGTTGGACAGTTCTCAAAATCATAGTAGCAGTTTACAAGAATTATATAACACCAGGAATTCTTCTCTCTTTAATACTATACCTCTGTCTTCTGTTGGCAAGGAAATGCCTCTGAGCTTCAGTGAATCAGCAGGGACGAACTCAAATGCAGCTGCTCCTTGGAAGGATTCATTTCATCTGCATTTTTCTTCTGGGAAAGACAATCTCAATAGGGTTTCTCACTGCATTGGTGGCATTTCAGTAACAGGCTGCCTGGAAGAAGCTTGCAGCATTTCTGGAGACTTCAGCTCAGACTGCCCAGGAGACAACTTTGTATGTTTTGCACAATTCTGGCTGGGAAATTTGCAGTATAATAAAAACCTGTGGTTTCTGGAATTAGAAATGAGCAGTAGCAAAGAGAATGAATTGCAGTTTGTATTTTTTAAAACATTGGAGTTTGGTGGACTTCCTGATTCCTGTTACAATCCAGTTGCCTCTCTGAACAACTCTGCTTCAGGACTCTCAAACAATCAGAAACCATGTATTTTGTTTTATTGCTTAAAACTTGTATCTTCAGAGCAAACACTTGGATATGAGCAAATGCTTATGAATATACAGTATGTGGCTAATAATTTTCACATCATACAGCTGGTAATCTCTGTGCTAGCTTTTGCACTAGCAGGTCTCTGGTATGCAGTAGTGAAGGGAAAAAAGTACTGAGATTTTAATAACTACTGTTTTTAATATTAGCAGAAAATAAGAGAGACAAGGTTACAGTTCAGGTTTTAGTGAGAATTAGCTGAAGTAAAAACCATAGTTCTATAATTGCTAGTTAAACTGGCTAATGGAAGAATAGGGACTTTTTTTTTGTAAGGAATAGCTGCATCTGAGTGTAAAGAACTTCATAATCTTCAGACTCTGGGACTTCTGCAGGTCTGCTGTTAACACTAAAATCCAATTTGATTAGCACAGATCCTTTGTTTCTACAGAGTTTGTATTAGTGGAGTGTTCTGGCTACTACTATTTATACCCATTTCCAATGAAACTTTGTCTTGTAGAATTGAATTCCTGCTCTGAATCCAACAGTAACTGATGTATCAGTCCTTAGAACACTTTGAACTGGGAAGCTGTTGGGAGGGTGGTCTTCAATACAACATAATTCTCAGCAGTGTTCCTTTCCAAGGATGGTACTACTCTAATTTAACAATACCTTGTGAGCTTTATTGTGCTACAACAGACACTGTAAACAACTTTCTAAAACATGTTTTTTTCCTTGAAAGAGGGATTGTTATTGCTGAAATACAATAAGAGCTTCTGGGCCTGTTGACTTTGGGACAGGCTTGTGATAATGAGGTTTGCCAAAGAACGGGGCAAGAATGCTGGAATCCATAGAGCTGCTGGTGAATAGAATTTTGAGGAACAGGCTCCTGATGGCACTTTAGTGGAGAAGCTCATTCTGCAATAGGTCAAACTTTGAACTTGATGTCCAAAATTCTCAGCAGGGGCATTGCTGTAGATCAGCTTAATGTGCTCTAAAGGCTCACATAAAGAGGGAGGTATTGGTGTGTGGGTTAGGATGCATCTTCAGCTTCCCCTTGACTCTGACTTAAAAGTGAGGACTTCATGTGGAGTAAAGTGGTTCACACACTAGGTATCCATGCCAGTAATTCACACACTGGGTATCCTTTTTTGCCAGCTAATCTTGCTTCATTTTGGAAAGAGAGGAAGTGATGTTGCATTTAGTTTGAACTGAACTTAGCTGGAAAGCCAGTAGTTTCCAGTGTGGTGGTTATTGACGTGTTGGCACACATGTGTAGAGAAGTCCTTGATTATGAAGATGAGAAGCTCATTATCAGTCTTAGGGAGAGAAGAGTTGACATTTTTAAATCTTATTTGAGTGCTGAAAGTAAGACATATTACTTTTTATGTTGAGTGATACTTTGTGTTTTCATTATCCCCATTGGCTGATTGTTTCTTTTGGATGCTAAAAGAGATGAAATGCCACTTACTTTAATTTAGAAAATAACTTCTCCCTGGTGTGCATTTAAATGATTGTTTAACTTGGGGACTTTTGACCATGCAATTACCTGTCAAAGAGTGACAGAAAGCCCCAGAATAATACTGGTTTATGTATCACAAGTAATTACTCTGACAGCAGCAGTTCCCTCTTAGTCAAGCTATCCACTCTCATCTCCATTGCTGTAATTTATCAGCCTTGCAGTGAGTGGTATTAGCACAAGTTAACACATGGTGTTGCAGAGGTTCAAGATTCCTCAAGTGATGTGGATCTGACGTGCCAGAACACCAGAAACAGACACTTCTCCAAATGTCTGTGGCTTGGAGTTATGGTGTTAAGCTGCTGTCTGCCTGTATCTTGACCCAAAAAACACTTGGCAGAGGAAGGAAGGCTGGGAGGAGTTGGAGCCTGTTTAAGCTGGCTTGATTGCTAAATACAATGTTGTGCAACTCCATATTAATCTCTATGCAGCTCTATGGGTACAGCCATACCCTCCCTGTATGGTGAGCCGCCTTACCTTCAGATGTGCATGAACACAGTCCTGCACCCAAAACTTGAGTGCTTGGACTTCCTGTACAAAGGATCAATCAGAACAGCTGTACCTGCAGTTGTTACTTGAGACCTTGTTTGTACAGCTGACTGGTTTGGCCTGGAACATTCTCTGCTGAATGTCATTTGGGAACTACATGTTTTGGGAACCATAGTTCTATACAAGAACTTGTAGGTAAGGTTGTCAGGTTAATAGGCAAGAGGAGTAGCTAAAGGCATAAACGTGCAGTTTTTAATGCACCTTTTTTCATGGTGATTTCAAAGGGGGGGGTGAGTGAAACATGAGAGACACCAACAATAAACTAGAATTTAAATGTGTGTACAGCAGAGTTCCAAGGATTTCCTCCTTATCAATGACAAGCCTATGGTGGAGAAAATCTTGGAATATTGAATTGTGTTACATATCACAGTCAGTCCTGTTTTAAGCAAAGTCTTGTTTGAGTGTGTGGCCTTTCATCACTTATTACAGGATCACTTTAAATACAATACAGCTAAGTAAAATGATGGATGTTTGTTGTGTATTATATTTATATTGACCATAAGATGCAAAGAATACTTAAATAAGTGGATTTAATCAATTTTAAGATAGTTTATGTACCTTGCCTTCAATTTTATTGCTTAAAACCTAGAAGGTAATTTTAACTTGAACATTCCTTCTGAAATTCAAATAAAGCATAGCTTGGTATGTTAAAATCTCATGTAATATACTGCACTTTAAGCCTGGGGAGGCCATGGATCAAAAGTGCTGTTCTTTCACTAACAGAACTGCCTGCCCTGACTGAGACAATGTTTAAGTGGTTTTTCCTGTCTGGAGGGAGAATAAGGAACCTGAAGGATGGCATCCATCCTTTGAAACTATAGATAAATCTAACACTATGTGGTTTAGGCCACTGTTCTATAGGTTTTTTATATTAACTCATCTCAAAAGATGGAAGGTGTCTTGGCCAAGAACCAGTTTGTGTGGAGTTTCATGGCTTCACTGTGTCCAATATGGAAAACTTTCCTGAGTTACTGTGCTGTTAGGGCTGTCTCAGATGATTATTACAGTAGAGAAAAATAACATTCTTAGTAGGGGTAAAGGACCTTCATACTCAACCAGGAGTTGCCTTTGTATTTCTGTACTTCTGTCTCTCATCCTTCTCTAGGAAGAGGTTATTTTTAAGCAAAATGTCAGGGTTCTACTAAACAACTTGTGCTATCTAATACTTCATTGATTAGTGTCCAAATCCTTCCTGCACTACATAGTGAAGTTCTATTTCTGCCATTAGAAAATAAATAAGAATATACTCAATATTAAGAGGATTTCCTACTAGTTACACTTGAGTGAAAATTTACTATGTAGTGTACTGCTATGAAAATAAAATATACTTTTAAATGTATGCACAGAGTTCTGCATGTAGATAAAAAGTGTTTTACCACAGTATGATGTTGGGATGCTTACGCAAATGCTTGTTTACTTTCTGACGCTGCAGTGCAAAACGCAGTGGAGCTGGTGGTGTCACTTCTCCGTGTGGTTTTCAGCCAGTGCAAGCTCAGCTACTGTGTGTCTGCATCATCCTGCACAGGGGACAGCTCTAGCTGAAGACATGTTTTAGCCTTTTGCTTTTCCAGTGTTAGGTTTGGTTTTGCTGTTGTGTGAGGTTTGGTGGTTTGTTGTTTGTTTGTGGTTTATTTCATTTTTTTTTTTTAAATTTATCAATAGGACTGTAAAGACAGCACTTTCTTAAACTTTGCCAAAGTTTGCTTCTTTTCTCCTTCTCTCCACCTCTGCCCCTTATACGAATACACATTTAATTTTTAGAAGAAGCAAGCCTGTGTGTACTCTCCTAATATATAATCTTATTGTCAGGTTGCTCCTTTCGTTTTTATGGCCTGGTCATGCATATATTTCTCTCCCTATAATTTCCTGGCATAAGCATACACTGATATTTTGTTCCACCTCAAAACCATTGTCCTGTAATTAATTATGCACAACAAATTGACAGCAATCATGTAGAGATTTAAGAGTCCATAGTCTCTCATTAGGGTGTATGACAGGTGGTATAACTTACAGATCAATATGTAGTCAATGTGACACATTTCTGTTTTTTCCTCTTCAAAACAGCTGCTTCAGTTAAAATCCAATATTTAATTTGAGTATGTGGTACCTCTTGACAGCTGAGAATTGCAGCTAGAACCAGGGGATTATAAAATACATTAAGGTTAGGACTTAGTGTAACTTTTCAAAAAATTAAGGAGTACATTAAAGAGTACATTAATATTTTGAAACTTTTTTTCCCCCCAAGAGTGCACAGAATAAAATGTGTCCTGCTACTTGTTTCTGTGTGATGCACACCCAGTAACTGGGGGTGGGGAGAGAGCCCTTCTTAGATTGCAGAGCCTCTAATCCTCAAGGAAGAGTTGCACTTGATAGAACTTCAAAATAAACCACATGTTGCCTATGAAAGTACTGATAGTTATGATCAACTGTCATACTTAAATTACAATATCATAGGTATCACTCTCCTGACAGTGTGAAAACAAGAATAATAAATACAGAAGTGCTAGAATTAATGTTGTTCTTTACCAGCCTGCACCGGTAAGAGCAAATCCTATTGTACTTTGAAATTAATTCTCAACTGCATCCCAAAATCTTAATTATCATAGTATTTTTGGAAGTAGTGATACAAGATTCAAACTAAGATGGTTATTTCATTGTTAATGATGAAACAAATTTATAAGTTAAAATATTTTAGAAAATGACAAGAGGGACTTCCACAAAGAAAATCTGCCTTGAAAAGGTTTATTTCATTTGTGTGATCTCTATATATGTATAGTCTGTTTTGCAAATTCCTTCCTTATTTGTAGATAGTATAAACCTGATAGCAAAAGTGGTCAAAACCCGAACTTGCAAAAGTATCAGTGTTTAACTTTCTGTATGTAGTCAATTTTAGCTATTATCAAACATAATACCTAAATGTAATTTAAGCTTTTATTCTTGAAAGTAGGGAAATCAAATACTTAGTGCCTGATTCACCACTTGAAGTTAAGTGAAACCATTTCTTGAAAATGGGTTCTGTTACCTGATGGTGACTAATTTTCAATGCTGATACTCAACATTTCCTGTAAACTGTGATGACATCCCTGCAGAACAATTTTAGTGTATGGCCTTGGTCTTTGGCCCTATTTTGTTTGTATTATTATTTTTTTATTGCAATGTGGGAGGTGGAGAAGGCTGGCACAAACCATTTATTTTTTGTTCCAGAGAAAGACGTTTACAATTTCGTATGTATTTTAAAAATGAATTGTGATACTTTTTACCTGGGAGAGAAGTTTCCATAGTAGACTTGGAACCTGAACAGAGACTTTGGAATATCAGGAGTGCTCCCCAAGCTGCCAGAAGCTGTTGAGGGCGAAGCTGCTCACTCACACCACAGGAGGGAGTTACACATCAGTCTTTGGAGTATTTTCAGTTATGGCATTGTTAGTACATCTTAGTACAGTGCACTTCAGTTTGCCTTGTCTTACGGATTGTCACTGCAAATAGGTTAATGTACAAAATCAATACACGATGGTAATGTATTTTAACTGTTTACATTTGAACTCAGAGTACCAATGGATGGGTTTTGTCAAGCTATTTAAAAACAGAAATAAAATCTTTTTTAAAAGACAAAATGTAGTTTTGGTGCTTCTCATTCCAATTTTCCACTGTAGAAATTGAAGAGATTGTGTTCCTGACAATGTGAAGTCAGACAGGGAGTGGCTTTTCCAAAGGTACAATTTGAGAGATGTGTGCTTACAGAAACCAAACAAGTTTAAAACCTCTGTGAGAATAAAAGGGTTCAATGCTTGTACATGACCTTGGTATGTGAAATCTGGTATGTGAACTCAAGGCTTGTTTAATGATGTTAGCCACCAGTATTTATTAATGGGCATTCTTTTTGCACACTTTACTTTAGTCTTAACAAGCCTGTTACTTTAAATGTAGTTCCAAGATATTTCCTAAATAACTAGCTCCAATCTTACAGCATAACTTCATTTTCAAGGGGAAAGCAAACCACAGTAAATACATGTAATGGCCATAGCAACTCTCTTACATCATCCAGGATAAACATTGCTGGATGTTTTCCTGCACAGTTAAAATCACTACTATACTAACAGATACGCCAGAGCTTTTGTTTCTATTAAATGAGATATTCCCATTAAGGGGGTAGAATAAACTTGTATCCTCTGCTATATGTTGAACATTAAAAAAAATGTATCAAAACAGGAGCCACTCGCCCCTCAGAGATCTCTCTTCTGAAAGCTGCTATGAGGTGATCTTTAGATTCTAGACTCAAAATCTTAGTTTTTGTTTTGTCTGGGGATCCCTTGCTGCCACAAGTGACAGTTTCAAAGAAGAATGTTATTGTTACAAGCTGTATTCTGAAAAGAACTGGTATTGGCAATCCTGAAGAAAAGGCTGATATTCTGAGTACAAAATTAATGTGTACTTTTTTTCTTAATAATGAGCGCTGACATCATACTGTCCCTCAAAACAAGCATTTAAACAGAAGAAAAGGGAAGAGGAAAAAATGAAATATAATAAATCTAATAAAGTTCTGTAAAATTTTGGCACGTGGTTAGACCTCTATGGCTAAGAAAGTGGTATCAGTGCTCCCTGCACATCACTGTAAATTCCTCATGGCTTTTGGAATTTGTATGGCAGATCCTGAAATAGGAAATTGTAACCTTTGTCCATGATGTTTCAGCCACCCACTGTGACAGTGGTATGATACAGCCTTAATTACTCATGTTGCCATCACTTTCAGATGGTTTATCAGTAGTTTTACGTACATTTATATAATTGGGCATGATTCCTGCAATGGGCAATGTTTAGGTACTCTGAATACTTTTGCCAATAAACTCAGAAACAGACATGCTACTCTGTGCATATCCAAATCTCTTCCTATTAGAATCCAAAATGCTTTGAAGTTGGACTTAAATTGGTGGCTTATGACTTTGTGGTAGTCTCTTTGTTCATCTCATACTGTAAAATTCTGAAAGAGCAACTCACCTGGACAGGAGCCCAAATTTCCTCGCTGCAAATCTGAGACTGCCAGAGGAACTTCTTACCAATTTACACTCATCACAACATTTATCTCTTCAGTACGTTTCTTGGCACTTGCTTTTTCTGGCAGATATTACAGCAGCTTAAATTTAAAAACTCCAAAACCTTAAACCAAACACGAGTACCAAAGACTCTGCTGAAGATATTCACATTTCTTAGAGAGATGATTTTTTAAAACAGGATGGAGTGCTTTACCTTACTTTAAAAAAATAAAAGTATTGGATGGGTTTTTGTTATCAAGAACTGTGGCATGTTTGTGAAGTGCTCTGGTAAGTCTTGAACGTTAGGAAGTGCTTTGTCAATTTGTTATCACAAGTATTTTTTAGACATATCAAAATACTCCTTTATTTATCTTTAACCTCCTAGTTCAAAGAAAAGAAAAAAAAAATAAACATATTTTCGAATTCTTTCAAGTATTATGTTTTGTTAAAAGTTCCCCCAAGGGTAAAGGACCAAAACGAACACAGACCTCTTGCTCACTGAACAAAAAGCCAACAGAAATGACAAGCAGGATGTTTTTGATGCTCTTTGTTAAGTTTTTTTCTGGGGCTAGTGGCTGAAGCCCTTAATCACTTTAGCTAGAAGTTATTCACAAATAACCTTTCTGAGCTCAGTAATCCCGTCTTGCTTTGTATCATAAAAAAATATTTTCTGCAGCAGGGATTCCTAAATGGCCTCTCAGATCTTAGCCTTGCATTCCAGGTGCTGTATGCTGACTGCCAGCACGTATGACCTGCTCCAGAGCTACAACAGTTATACTGTTTCAAATTTTTGCCTCCTTCAATATAAAAGCATTTAAGATTAAAACAACTAAAAATATTTCATGACGTTGCATCGCACCTTCTTAAGGGCTCGCTTGCACCCCTTCACGTGTTTGTCACTTTAGGTCAGGTTTGTAGATGCTGCATTTTCTATCATGCTGAAAATCAGAGACTAGTACAAAAACTTGTCAAAACAGAATGAAAATTCAAACTTTTTTTGAAGTTGGACAGCCTTCTTTTATCTTCTGTTCCCTCTAGCTGCTTTCGAGTGAGAACATCTGTACAGACTACAGCGGGTTTCAAGTCCTTTACTTTGATATACAGTGTATGCTCCCAACAATCTGTTGCTTAAAATAAAAGCTGTCTGGTCTGTGTTGTCACTGTCAATCATAATTTTCAGAGCTCTTCCTCACATTTTCTTTCTGGTTTATAATCACCCATTTGCAGTTGATAGCTGTATCTTCTGTTTTCCTTCTATTTAGCTAAACTACTTACTTGCCAGTGCTGGCAAGCAGAAATCTGCACAGCTTTTCATCACTGGGTATTTTGTTACAGTCAGTTCATCAAGATTTTTTTGCGACTTGCTCAATTTACAGTTAATTCTAATATATTTTCATTAGGTATCCATCAGGAATTGTAGGTATTCCTGAATGGATTTTTGAGCATTTCATCACATAGGAAATGGTTTTTCTGAAGGCCTCTACTGAATCAGCACTGTTGAAAGGTTTGAGTCCCTTTTACAAATGGCTATTGCTACTATAGTTAGCATAAAAGAACACTTTTCTAAGTGACAATATTTCTGGTCAATCTTTTTTATTCACGTGTGTTTGTTAAATTCAGCAGCTGATCTGCCTGGGAGAGCTCTCCTGCCTCTTAGCAGATATTCCAGCTGTGAGAAGATAATGAGATACACAAGGTGACTCCTCTCAACCTAACATACAAACCTGACAGGCAAGGAATAAACTCATGGAGAAAAAACTAGAAAGACCAATCAATTTTAAAAAAAGTGTTTTGAACATATTAGTGGTTTAATCAGATAGGTTATTTTACCAGAAACATGGGATGAGAAGGTATGAATTAAAACTTGAGGCAGGAAGCAACTTAGACACGATTTACCTTTATAATAGAAATTGTCAAGTAGTTCGGATCACACAGGGAGGGTGGGATTAACTGGATATGGGCTCAGAGGAAATAAAAAAAAGCACAAATATTTTACAACCTTTCTGTGGAAAAGGAAAATCACACTTTTACTATTATTTCCCTAGAGATATTTCTGTTTTCCTTGCAGCCATATATGCACGTTATTGTAATGCTACATGGAAAAACAAGAACAAGGTGGGGGGGGGAGGTTGTTGTTGTTTGTTTTATTTTTTTTATTGTGTTTTTTTTTTTTTTTTGCTTTTTTTTTTTTTTTTTTTTTTTTTTTTTTTTTTTTTTGTTTTTTTTTTTTTTTTTTGCATTTCAGAAAGTGTAATCAATAAGAAAAGAAATCTGATAGGAGGATTTATCTGTTTAAGTACCCTAGAGTGGTTTCAGTAGGACAAATCACAGCTCCACTCCTGTAATCCAATCACACAAGATCAGTACTGATGTCTAGCCCTGTTGACTTAATCAGATCTCTGGAGCTGAGGATCTGCCTGTGTGAGCTGAGCTACAATGCCTGGACTTGGTGATTTATGGGAATATCATTAAATTTAGCCTGGGTTAAAAGTGCAGCCCTGTGCACAGCAGAGTCAATGTGAATCTTTCCAGCCACTCCAATTGAGACAATATCATGTTCCTGAAGAGTCTTGACATTTATTGCACACATTCCAAGTATTGTGCTCTTCATAGAACAGCCATCTTTAAGTGTATTATCTTGAAAAAAAGAGACAGAATTTATCAACTGACAATTGTAATAATAAAATACATCATGTCTAAAGTTATAGCATATGTATGGACTTCTAAGAGAAATCTCTTCGGAATTCCAGTTTATAAAATAGTAACATTTGCTACTTTGTTTGATTGATTAAATTGATAACAGCTTTTGATAAGACTTTTAACATAGCTTTAAGCTCACTGCTGCTTTTTAATTTTAAACATTCTCACATGAACTGCTCAAAGTAATTGTAAACAAGGTTATTAATACTTTTTATTATAAGGAAATGTTAACTTTTTTATTTCCTGGAGTACTAAATTCTAATTTTTTCCTTTCTCAGCTACACAATATTAATTTGTGATATGCTGGATCTTGTATTACTTTGCTTTATGTTGGTGCTGTAAACACTTTAATTTTAATATTTTTATCTACTACTTTTGATCAATTATTCAGTTATTCAGGGATATATGTGAAATGACATCTCAAAAAGCTGCTATTGTTATCATGCTGTTATCATGTTGTTACACTTCAGAAGTGTTAAGCAACTGTTGATTGTTAGCAGAAGGGGAGGAGACATTGTTTTAACAATGGAGGCAGACTCCAAACTCAAAGGTGGAGTTTGTGTCTAGACTTTTACTAAGGGGCCCTGTAAGGAAATTAAAGAGTTCCCATTATCCAAGTGGCTGCTGAGTGTGAGTGGACAAGCCTCTGCTCAAAACTGACTGGAACCAAGGTAGGATGTCCAACCAGCTTTGCAGCAGCATTCAGGGAGTCTTTTGCTCATCATGCTCCCAGCACACCTCTAATATTGTGATCTAGAGATAAAAGACCATTTTGTGAACATAAAATATGAAATTGTAGTTTTCCTAACTGCATGTAGTAACTATATAAACACTTAAATATATACATGCATTAATATCTGCTTGTTTAGATCTATTCCTGCCTCAGTGCTTTCTATAAATGATTAAAAGTTCAGTAGAAAGAATGGAAACACACCCCAGGTGTGTAGCTGTAGGTGCTGCATTAAGCATGGTAAAAGCACACCTTTCTTTGCTGTTGTGTTACTCTGGAATTAATAGAGAAGTTCCCAAATCCCATTGAGATAAAGATATTGCTTTACTCATTGCTGTTGCCTATGGTGAGTATGCTGAAGTAGCATCTTTATTGATTAGCAGTTTAGATTTCTAAGAATACTGATTTATCTGTCATTACTTGCAGTTTCATAATCTAATAAAAAAAAAATCTCATTTCTAATAGGTTCAAGGCAGCATTTCATCATTTTAGCTGAAGAATTTATCTCTTTTTAACTCGTATCAGAATATCCCAGCTTTACTAAAACAAAATTAAAATTACATTATAGAAGAGAATGCTTTGTACAAATGATGCAGGAAGTCCAAACCATTTCAGGAAAAAGCAGCAGCTAGAAAAAGAACTGCCAGGCAACTGTACTTTGTAGAAAGTAAATATGGAAATTCCACAGAAGTATCAGGACACTGGATATTCAAATATAAGAAACACATAAAAATACCTCATGGAATGATTTAATGTATGGAGGAGATAACCACTCCTGTCAACAAGATGAAAAGGTTTTAACTGTGAATGAGACAATATTTAAGAACATAACTAGTACTTGGCAGTGTATTTATCTTGCAAATGTGATTAAGACGTTGAAAAAATGATCTGTTTGTTTTAATTGTAGTTATCTGCCATCTTGTTTTTCAGGTTTGGAGTCTTCCTTAACTGCTGAGCTCTGGAAAAGCCTTTCAGAGTAAAGAGCAGGGGTAGGATTTTGTTAGTCATGAGAATTTAGCTGTGCTCATTACCCATGTCCTGCTAGATACCACTTCCAGCAGGAATACCAGAATGCAGGCCTTAGCAGGCCAGGGGGAAGAACATCCTTGCAGAAAATAATTAATTTGTTCTCAGCTGGTACAAAAACGGAACTATCCCAGATTCTCATGCTTTTGAAGTGTTTTCCATCAACAGCAGATTTCAAAGACTGCTATGTGAAAGTCTTTCAGGCATAACTGTATTGTTATTCCCTAATGCTTTATATTTTTTCCCCACAAACATAAAAAGAAATGGAGAATATAGTCTATTTAAAAAACTTATTATTTATCCAGTGTGAAAACATTGAGCAGTCCATATTTTCTCAAGCAGCTTTGTGCATTGAAACTGAAGTGAATGACTTTTTATAAAATATGCTTTAATGGTTCCACTATTTTGAAATAAAATTATTATCTTTCAAAATATAGCTCCACCATCATTGTTTAATTTGGATATTTGGGAATTTCATATATCCTGCTGAATGACACACCTGATTGATACAGAAATCCTTAAGTGGAGAGCCTGCATCTGTAACAATAAGATTTCTGCTATTTGAAAATACAACAAAATTTTTAAAGATCCACATTAAAAGGAAACAAAAAATGTTTAATTTAATCACTTTGTAGGACATTGTTGTTTCTATTGTGTTTTGTACACTAGGTCACATTTTTTTATGTTACATTCCTTGTTTAGTCCAAAGCATGGCAATCTTCCAGCCAGAGCTTTTAGTGATAAATTCTGCTATACAAAGCAAAAGTTTTTATATATGAGGCCACTTCCTTCTGCTATTTTATCATCTTCCTGGTTTTGTCTGTTTTCAATAAATGCCTTTGTATTTTCACATCTTTTATATGCTTGTATACACAGACGCTTTCCTCTGTATTAAAACTGATAGTAGCAAGTTGGTAAGGATAAAAAAGACTGTTGACTTAATTTTCATTGCACTAATACCCTATATGAATGCTTTAATGTTACTGTATTAAAAGATCTTAACATTGATATTAAAACTATTTCCTGAATTTGGCAGTGGGGTGGAAAGGCAAGGGTGATCTTTCATAATAAGGTTTTAAAATGGAAATAATCTCTGGGTACAGGTACACTTTAGTACTACAGATTGGCATAAGAAGGCTGGGCTCTCACAGCGCATTTGCATTATTTTAAAGCATCTCAAATTAAAACATATTGAAATTTAAAATCTAAAACGAAATTATGGTGGAGGCCAAACATCTCTCCTTTATCTGTCCCAAGGGGCTGAATATTTCTGCCTGAGGAGAAAAATCTAAAAATACTCATCAGTAAAGAGAAGCCACAGAGTCCCCTGCACACACAGTGGAACCCAAACAATCTTGAGGGAAAGGAGAATTTGAATTAGGGGTGGTCAGAGGAGAAAGATGAGATTGGAGGTAAAAAGCTGAAGTTGCAATGCAGCAAACTGGAGAAAAGCTTCTGGAACATACAAGAAAGAGAAGCAGTTCCTGCTGTCCCTGCCCATTCTAGCAGTCTGTCAAGAATTCCTCTTTCCCACAAAAAATGTTACCAAGGATGTAAGCTACAAATCATCATGTACTAATCTTTTTATGAAGACCTCTTCTTGTTGTTCTGCAGACCTATTGTTCTTTTACAATCACATTAATAGACTAAAAATAACAAGGGCAGTTCTACCAGACTTAAATTACAAGTCTGATTCTTAAGAATTATTATTTTATATTGTGCTGATTGAGATCACAGAGATCTTCTTCTGACCACAGAGGTATAAGGTACCAAATTCATCCTTCCTGTAACTGTACTGAGGTAAATGAAGTTACATAAGGAATTAATTTGACCTGTCTCATCCATTTCCTTGGAAAAATTCTTTGTTTTAGCTCTTGCCAAGTTTTAACTTAGACTCTGCCTTGCTTAACATCTTCTTGTGCCTAGAGAAAAGTTTTTCTTTCTTTAAGACTATAAAGAGAAATACAGCAGGGGAAAGACAATTAAGGTGAGTATCTGCTTTTTAAATTGAAAGTACACTTCAGTTATGGTCAGAAAATGCCAAAACCTTTTTATTTGGTATAGATGTGTATGGGATTATTCTTACATCTGTGAGGATATGAAGGCATAAAACAGTACATATAACCATGAAAGGATAAGGATTTAAGTAATGTTTTTCTGCCTAACACTCATATGTTTATTTCTAAATGCAACAGCAGTAATAAATGGGGAGCTTTCTTTGCTAGAGACCATAAGAATTTAAAATATTACACATCAGTTTTTAATAATCATCACCTTTCCCCTAGACTCAACAGGTATATTCAAAAATAACCTATGAGAGAAGCTGAACACCTACTCTCAGCAGTATGTAACTACAATTTCATGATGCAATAAATTTAATTTTTGGATGGCATTGTGGCATGAAATTCTTTGTACAAATTCAACTTAGCAGTACAAAGTTATTTAAAACCCAAAACCCTCTAAAACAAGGACTGGTGAGTGGTTTTCCTCCTGATGGTTTTACATTAGAGTTGATATCATCTGTCTTCCTGCTGCCAGTAAAAAGCCAGGATAAAGTCTGGTCTAAACACTGTAACTCATTACTTGCTAACCTTGAGAAAAATGCAAATACACGTTCATATTTAATCTTGATCAATTTATTACCATTAGATAATCTAGGATTGCACATATGAGATATAACTAGCATGCAAGCCTGAGTATAGGCTCAGCTTGAGAAGGGCTGAGCATGAGGGATCAGAAAGTGAAATTAATGGAGAGTCTGCGGTTCAGAATAAGGTTATAATTATGATATTGTCCCCACAGACAAACTTACAATCCAGCAGCCTCCCTTCCTTCTTTCCACACCATCTGTGTGTCACAGTCTACCAGCGCTGCAATTGTGCCAATGCAACTGTTTGTGGGTCCAGAGCATGAATTTAATCAATAGAACAATTCTAGTTAAAAATGATTAGACTAGACAGAACTTTAAAAATCTGGATTGAGTGATTTGATTTACACCATGGCTTCATGAACAGCTGCACAAACAGCTCAGAGGCCACAATAAGTCAAAATCATTAGTTGCCAGTTCCTGCTCCTGTCTAAATTTATGGTTCCATATTTATTAAACCCAGATTTGTGCACTGCTGACTAGCCAGCAGCAAGATTTGAGCCAGCTCATGCGGAGATATGCCATTGCATTTCACTCACTGGTGAATCAACAAGAGCACCTGGTGTGACCCTTCTAACACTGTGTGTCACGAGCAAGTACAGCTTGTCACTTGGCTGCCACCTGTGCCAGGGGATGCCAGCCCTGGAACTTGGCTGAGGAGGCTTCCTTAGGCAGGGAGAAGGAACCATGGGGGCTCCCATCCATCAGCTGCAGCCACGTGCATGCAGCCAGAGCAAGACTCATGCATGGTTTGCAGCTTGGCTGCAGCTCCCACTGTAGGATGAATTGGGAATTTTGAATTCCCAGGCCTTGCTGAGACTGGAGAGTGGTATGTGAGAATACATCTAACCATGCCAAGTTGGAGTTAGCCAGCAGAGGGGAATTCAGACTGTGGCTATTTCTCAGGGTGGGAACAGTCTGGCCTTAATCAGCACGCTCTCCTTTGAGAGTTAATTTACATCAAGTTCTTTCACTTTCCTGAGATAGACAAACCCTCTCCAGCTTCATGCAAAATTCCATTCATGATCTGTTTCAGCCCATGTTCTTTGAATCCAAGTCCTCTTTTTCTGTTATTTTAGGCCCAGCTTTCATGCTAGAAAGCATCTGCTTCTGTCTAGTACTGTGCATAATTAATACAGGTAGAACAAGTTCTAATGCAAAGTGTATTTCAGATCAGAAGAATTACAGAGGTGGTGGACCTTTGCAATTTTTGATGCGTTTTGTTTTCCTCACTGGGACATTCTGGTGTTTTTTTCTCAATGACTCACAAGTGGCCCTATCAGTCCTACACAATGGAAACAACCACTACTTTCCAAAACCAGTAATATTTTATGCTAGGAGTAAAGCTCAGTTAGGGAAAAAAAAAAAAAATCCACAAACTCTCAAATGTGTCAAGAATAGGAATTCTACAACAAATAAAATTCAGGATATGTTTTCAAAGTTAATCTGAGAGAAACCCCTGTAAAATTTTTAGAAGAGACGTATCTTTATTCTTGGAGGTTTCAACTATTTTAATTGAACTAGCTTCCTATCCATATAAAAAAGCACCATTCATAAAAGATGTTTGACTTGCTAAGCTTTAGCTTTGATGTTCCCGAAAGCAATATAAAATACCTTCATGTAAAATTTTTTTGGCCTAAATGAAAGGTACAAGCATTTTTAAAACCTTTGAGACAACCAGCAAACAGGATTTTCTACAAAAATGTTTTTTTCCACCTGAGAAAAATAGGATGAGTGTGACAACATAAACATTTTAAGAAACAATACATGGCTGAAACCCATTTGCCAGGCAGAGGAAGTCAAAGAGTTTGCCTGAGGGGTTTAAGAATACCAGATTATTCAAGTACTGATAAATTTGGAAAAAAAAAACCCCAAAAAAAAAACAACTTGGGGAAGAAAAAGGACAAACTGATGGTCTAAGATTTTCCTGCATTGAAACTATTAAGCAATGCTTCTTAAAAAATAAAAACTGTTTGACTGTCTAGATTTGAAACAAAATCAATGGCTGGGTATCAATGACAGTGATTCTATCAACAATATGATGTTTTAGAAAATGTAATGCTTGCACTATTTTCCTAAAAATGGGAGACAACTATGTGAGCAAGTTGCAAAATCAACCAATCAATTCTAGATTATAAAACACTGCACAACATTTATATTGTTTAAGATGTGTCTCTATTTTTGGTATAGATCTATATGCTCTAAGAATGTATTTATTAAGACTGCATAGATGTTCATGTCTCCAAGATGAGCTTTTTCCTTCAGGGTAACTGTCCATCTCACCCAATCTAACAGAAATCACACAAAGCCAGACTTGCAAATTAGTGATGTCTTGCCTACACAAGAAACAGGAATACCTGCATGGAGGTGAGTCTTCCTTCCAACAGTAAGGAGCATTATTCCATCTCCCTGTGGCTGATACTGACATGCAGTCTGATGACCCAACAGTCACTTTACTTCTTTCTGCACTGAGAAAATTCGGAATTTTATTTCTTATACTTGAATACAATGCTACTATGAACATCCTCATAGCTCATGTTCTTGATTATAAATAAAAACTTTATGAAATCTATAATAGTAAAAATTTTATTTTCACTCACTGCTCTTGGAATCTGGTTCAAACTGAAACCCACAGGAATGGCTTAATATTCAATGAGCTTTATAGACCACAAAAATGTGATGTAATAGTTTCAGTTGTCTTCACTGACTCTCTGTATAGGGACAAATGCCATAACAGATGTGCTCCTCAACCCTTAAAATGAAAAATGACATGATAAATTACTTCTTAGTGGAAACTGAAACAGAACAGTTACTGAACTACCCAAAGAGGGACAAAAAAAAAAAAAAAAAAAAAAAAAAAAAAAAAAAAAAAAAAAAAAAAAAAAAAAAAAAAAAAAAAAAAAAAAAAAAAAAAAGGCAAAGCATATTACCTGAAAATTCAGCTAGTAACCACATTTATCATTGAGGAATCAATGCTGCCAACAGGAGGTTTTGGAGAAAGCCCAATTTTCCATTAAAAATAATATAAACAGACCTGCTATTAGACTATTATTTACATGAATGACAGACTACATAGTGCTTCCAACACAGAAGGTTAGACTTGTGGATATGAAACTGGCAAAAGATACTGGTGGTAAAAATAGACCTAAGACTACAGAAGACACTGAAAAAAAAAAAAAATTCAAGCAATCCCGAGAAAACTATTGATTGGAAGTCTCAATAATATGAAGAAAAAATTTAAAATTCATACGTACTTCAAAACAGAAGAATGATCAAAATTAGATGCGACAAAATTATTCACACGAGCAGGAAATAATTGATTGGAGTTTGTCTTGGAATTTGCTGTGATTGTAACCTGTATTGTTCCTGGCATCTTTGTTGGTAAGGAACTACCCCATATTTAATGACAGCAATGCTGTTACTGTTCAATTGCCAAAAACCAGGAAGGAGTTCTGCTATGGTAGAACTGCTCTAGCTACAATGTAGAACTGTGAGTGTAATTCTTTACTTGATTTTACACATTTTCCAAAAATCTACTCCTGACCTAGTTAGGTTTACAGCCAGACATGAGCTTTACTTTATACACAGGAAAATGAGGCAACAGAGTGAAATGTTTGATCTTAAAAGTTTCTGTGACACCTCTCACCTACAGATTGAACAGCTTTGTCCACTAAAGCACCTTGTACACAGAATTAACAGTTTTGTGTTTAGAACACTTGTAAGATTGGGCCCATACAAAAGTAACTGTATTTGTGATACACACAGTATGAATGAAAATGTTTTAAGGAATATCTGTCATCCTTTCAAAGACACACAGCCTTGGAGAGAACACTATAATTTTAGTACTCTTTTGTACTATGTATCATTAATAAGTCATTCTACTAAAGCAGGACTGGAAAGAACAGATTCTTCTTGAGAAGGTATTAAATGACATCTAATCTAGAGTTCCAACATAGTAAGCTATATATTCAACAAAACACTGAAAATTTCTCTGTTCAAGTTTATCATGAGTATAATAAAGAGAGTTTTCCATACCTCATGAGTTTGGAATTGGATTTCACCAAGAAGTTTCTATAAAATATTGCAACTGGTCACTTGTAATTAGGACAGACATTTTTCATATCTTTCTTGCATAACAAAATAATTTTTCACTTTGATATTAATTTGGAGAGTTTTAAAACTAGTTTTGCTTCCATGAAGTCAACAGGAATTTTGCACTGAATGGGTGGAAGGAGGACTGTTCTCCACACTTCACTCTCCCCTGCTAATAGAATTAGTGATTAGGCTTTTTTATTTTGGACTAGAATTTTCCTTGAAACCAAGTGAGGGAGGGAGGGAGGGAGGGATGGATGGATGGATGGATGGATGGATGGATGGATGGATGGATGGCAAAAAAACCAGAAACAAGAACATAAAAACATATACTTTATATAAAGGTGTAAAACAGCATAAATTAAATGAAAGCAAACAATCTGATTGATTATAAAATTAGAATTTTTCTCATGAACCAGATTCCCCACTAATGTAAATGAACAGTTTGCTCAGTGTGCAAAAATATTCAGAGCCCACTGTCAGTTCATCTGCATTAAGACTTATTTTAAACCATCCTTTAATGGCACTTTATTGACATAATTTCAAAATCAATCTCTTACCAAGGTGACACTTCTGTTTTATGTAATCATATCCTTTTTATAACTAACTTACTAAACTTGTAACAACATTTAATTTCAAATATGAAAGACAAAGAGGAGTATTTTAAAGGTTTATGATTTTTAGATGAGGTAAAGCACTTTATCACCAGAGCAGCTGTCAGAGCCAAACCTCAGCTCTCAGCAAAATGGGCTGTAATAACCACCTATTAGCAGCAGTGTCAAGAGGTGACTGCTCCTGACACAGCATCCTAGACGGTGCTCTGTCCCATGCCAGCCTACAAAAGGAAAATGAAAAACCTGATATTTTCCTGTTGGCTGACCTTTTCCTCCCACAGCTTCCTTTCTGAATAAAATTTTGACATGAACGTTTTTTAAAAAATAATAAGGGGCGGTGCCAAGGAAGGAAAGAAGGAAGGAAGGAAGGAAGAGTGATGTGCGCCAGTACACTTCAGCTTACCTTTATGACTTTGGAAGCTGCTGATATCCCGACTCCCATGGTAGGTAACTCACTGAAGATCTTTACTGAAGACTAAAGAAATCCCACAGATGCTCTGGCTCCTAGGGCAGTAAGCAGGAGAATAATTTCTGTTACCCACACAGACAACACTCACCAACGCAAGCCCCTGCACTGCCCATGGGGCACAGTCCCATTTCTGCACCAGGCTCTCCATGACCACTATGGCAAGGGGAGCACCCAGCACCGGACACAAAAACAAAGAGCAAGCAAGAACCAGCAAAAAACATGCAGAAACATCAGATGTCTCGGGCTCTTTTCCAAAAACTTCAACCCACCTCGTCCCCCTTCATTACGGTGCTTCAGGCCATCTCAGCCCTCACCTTCCAGTCTCCTCCCGCTTCCGTTTATAATGCCCAAAGGAGTCTTTAGACCTCCAAAAAATAGTCAGGGGCTCTGCAGACATTTTCTGGCTCATGAAGACCCCAAAACACGACCCCAGCCAGCATGAGCCCAAGTGACTCGGCCCAGGCTCCTGTCGCTCCCGACCGCCCCAGTGACCCCGGCAGCCCCCGGGCAAGTCGCTTTCGAGGCCTCGGCGCTGCGGGGCCGCGCCGTGCGGGCTGTGCCGGGAGGAAACAGCGCAAAGGGCAGGCGGGAGGCTCCGCTCCCAGCGGGGCTCGGCCGCGGCGCTGAGGGGAGCGGGCGGCGCGGCGCTGAGGGGAGCGGGCGGCGCGGCGCTGAGGG